TAATGCTTAAAAAGCAATTAAGCTACTACAATATATATCGTTTTCAGAAAGAAAACAAAATAAAAACATCGGTGTATGTTCTGGATCTAAATCGAGTAATTCTAACAATGACTAGTATATTCTTTACTGGACAAATCCTTCATGCTAGAAAATTCGGATGATCATCAATTAAGTATACTTCTAGCCATGAGACATGAATGGTGAATGGTCCACTCGCAATTCTAATTTTCATCAACAAAACCGAATATAAAATATATGCAAGCTCACGTTCCGATCGAAACCCTAATGTGTCAACCCTCCTACACCTCACTCATGCGGGTTGTTATCTACTTTGTGTCAACCAAAAATTGTGATGCTGATCTATTTGATTAAGGAGGGTCCTTTCTTTCGGTTTATTATGTATATGGTAGCTTAAACTAATTGAGACGATCGATATACAAAGTATAGAAAGTTAGGCTTTATCATGTCAATGGTCACATTAAAAAAAAATTAATGTTGCACATAAAGAACCATCCACGTGGCTAATATTGTTACAAAATAATAATATCTGTCACCATTACAAAAGTCACGTTGTTTTAGTAAATATGAGACACATGATTAACTTTAGATTTTTATTACAAAGTTTGTCTACTCAAAAAGGTTTGGGACTCTTAATAATATAGTTTATGGTAAAATTAAAAACGTAATCTATATTTTTTGAATTATGAGCAATATAACAAAATTAGAAACATATATATATATATATAGAATCGCTAAATTTTAACATATTTTATTACGAGTCCCAAACATTTTTAAGCTGAAAAATTATAACCGAGATCAAAGATTTAATTTGAAAAGTTGGGATCAAGTATGAAAAATGGGATCAAATTAAAATATATGAAAAATGCAATTCAAGGCATCATCATAGGAGATTTCCATCATAAGGATCAGACCAGAGACTAAACTAGAACGCATATATACACCATTTGTACAAGAAGATCAATAAATTATAGGCTCCCTCTATCCATTATCCAAGTTGATCTTAGATTTTGAAAAGCTATACATTGTGTTAATCTATTATATTTGTGTGCCTTTTTAAAAGTTTTGTTAAAATATATCAGTGTATACATACTTGCATTTAATATCAAAAGTATAGTATTAGGTGTATAGGATCTAAGTTTGTTTTACATCTGTTATACCAATCAGGGTAACATCATCGCCAAATCGCTTTCATAACACATTATTTGATTAAATACAATTAAAATGCCATCGTCTTAACCCTTAAGTACTCATAAACTGGTCAATCTTCCTTGTAAAAAGATATATCTCACACACAGTATGATGGTAAGAATTATTTACATCCCATTTTTCAGCATCTTCTACGATTATGGGTTTCGAAAATCAAACTGCCAAAACATAACAAAATTGCAAACTTTGATAGGAAAGGGCGATGGTAAGACATTATAGTATTGTTTCTTTTGGCTGCAGAAACTTTATAGTAGCCCTTGTTTAATAGTAATAGTACAACTATATATATTATCGCGAATAATAGAGGTAGCTACATAATATATAGCACGTAAAACAAGGGCTATGCACTGATGATGGTTCATGATTAAACTGAATTCAAAAGAAACTAAAGATGATGGTCTTGTAGGTTGGTTAATCATATAAATTATTTCTATGCTATGAAAGAAAAGAGATAACCTCTTTTTTTTTTGTCTGTCTTTGGGGTCAAAAGAGAAAGAAAAAAAAAGTAGAGAACAAAGGCCTTAAAAGGAGGGTCCTTAAAAGTAGTATGGGAAAGCAATTTTTTTTTTTTAATTTTAAAGTTTGTCTAAGAAGAGGACAAAGGCTTTAGAGCAGGCAGGGGAATATATGCTTTCTCAAATTTAGGGCATCACTGTCCAACACTCTCTTTCCCCATTCCTATCCCTCATCATCTTTATATGTATATATATTTTCCTAACGAATCATAACTTTTAGTTTTAGTACCATCATGCATCATTTATAATGAATGTTTAGAGAACCATATCAGCTCATTATTTTTTGAATCACTAAGAGGTTTTGTGCAAAAACCTATACATCTTTTCAAATCTAAAACTAAAACATATTATATAGTCTCATCACAAACTTTTTTTAAATCGAAAACCTCTAATTTTTTTTGTCATAAATGATTACCAATTGAGCTATTAGTATTTGAGAATATAAGTTCATTATTATTAATGTTTTTGGTGTATACATATAGGGTTAAGCTCAATTTGTAGATACTAGCTACGATGATCTTTCAGATTTATAAATTATGGAATTTGTTTATATTTTCCATCGTACGATGCATCAAAACAGCGCTTGTTTAAAATGAATATGAACCACATTTATAAAATATGGTGATGTACAAGTTTTAGGGTTTAAAAAGGTTTTGTTTTTTTGTTTTTTTGGGGTGTAAAAATGTTAAGAAAGATCATAATAATTTAGGGTTAAAAAGATACAAAACCAAGACGTTATGAACCTTAACTAATTAATATCAAAAAAATTTTTTTGCCAAGCATAAGATAAGCACATAAAAGTAGTCTTTATATTTGTTGATGATTATTCCCAACTTTGAAAATGTTATATTTTGAGCGATCAACTGATACACCCGTACGTTGAGATACTGATGTCGGGTTTCAAATCGCAAATGTTGATGCGACCATTGACTATATATAGATGCGACCATTTGGATATTATCCATGAATTATTATTTTCGATATGTAGAGCTGTTGTATATATGTGATGCACGTAAGAAAACTTTTTAAAAGTTAACAATACGATTCGTATGGGTTTATTACTAGTATTTATTTATATACAAAAATCCACTCAAGCGAAGACGGCAAAGACTTCTCCACGTGGTCAATCTGTATAATCTATATATTTATCTACTAGTTAATTAATCTCCATAATTGATAATTCATGTGATAAAGTTCAGCCAATATACAATGTGTCAATGAAAAGTAAGAATAAACAAATACTATACATGTTTTTGTTTGGTACTTCAAAAGTAAGATAAATTTATTACTAGTAAATGACACCGCCGTGGGCGAGGGGGATGGGGATCTCTCGCCCTTTCGGTGCTGGTGGTAGGTAGGACGGTTCCATTGGGGGTGGTGATGACGGTGAATGGTGATCATAGCAATATTTTGAGTGATTTATCATATTATTGTTGATTACTACACACTGTAAATATATGTGACGACCGAGGACAAATAAATATGATACAGTTATTGCTCTTATAGAACGCATCCCCAACTAGGAGATGAAGGTATTTCATAACATAACAGAGTTGAGAAATTCAAAACTACCCAAGCAACGCAACGATAAGAACTTGAACGAAAAGTCGATTTTGAATCCAACCAAATGCACTCAGATGCCATAGTGTTAGCCACCTTATATTTTATTACTGAAATTCGATGTGCTTTTGACCCGGATTGGTGAGAACAGAGGACTATCTATATATTATCAGTCCATCACACAGAAACAAGTTACGTATCCCCAAGCTTTAAAGACTTAAAAAGAAGAAACGACAATTTTAAAGGAACACTAAACCAACAGAAGATAGTACAAAGTCTAAGGAACACTGGTGAATATCAATAACAAGGGGACGCGGCGGCAACAACGTTTTCTCCTAATCAAAAACTACAAGAAAGTAACCCCAAACATTTTATAATCTAAAGGACTTGGTTCCACTCATTTCAAGTTCCAAATTAAGACAACCCAAATGAAAAATCCATCACCAGATTTTACCCATCTCAGAAACATTCAGCAAACGCAGAGAAGCACAATGCAGCAGCAATCATAATTCGAGTAATCAGGGGTTTCAAGCTCCTCCCTCTTCCTTCTCCTCCCGTTCTCGGTTCCATTGCTCAATCCTTGCCCTCCTCTCCTCGCTTCCTTCTCTCCCGCCACCCGGGCTCCCTCCTCGTTTAGGGCTTGCTTGTCTCCTACCCCTTGAACCGTCCCTGTCTTGTCTCTCCGACCTCTCACTGCTCCTTTTCCCACTTCCTTGTCGGTAAAACTCGCGATCCCTGTCCCGGTGACTGAATTCCCGGTGAGGAGGATCACGTCTGTCATAGTCTCTCTTGTGCCTGGGGCTAATACTCCTGCTCCTGCTCCTGCTTCTGCTACCCCTGCGGTATGACCGCCTATACCTCCCAAAGAGTTTTCTCCTCAGCTCCCTTGAAACAAGCTTCACGTGCATAAAGTTACAGTACCCACCACGGTTACAGTTGTTTTCTTCATACTGCCGACACGTTGCTTCACGGAAATCCGTCACAGGAGAGAAATCCGCAATGATGGGACGTCCTGAGTAGAACCTACCTTGCAGAGCCTGCAAAGCCGCTGCAGCCTGATCCTCTTCCTTAAACTGAACATATACGTTGCCAATCATGTGATCAGCAAGGTTGTCACAAATGTTGAGGCTCTCTATCTCGCCAAACTTTCCGAGTTCCTCAAAGAGATCCTCAAAGAAATCCTCAAAATGCTCTTGGATCTTGCGCGGGTCAAGCGGTTGACCCTGGGCATCAACACCAGGGGTTATCATGTCAGGCCTTTGGTACATGTTTGAGAGGAGGAGTGTTGGGGAGATGGTGGGACGGTTGTGGAGACGAGAACACCTATCGCCGTGACGGCAAGCGCCAATCTTGAAGTAGAACGGACAGTTAACTCTGTCCTTCTCGGTACCAAAAATGGAAGCCAAATGCTCCGCCATGGCAGAATTCCCACCCTGAACTTACAAGATCAAACACACAAAAGTAAGTTATCCAAATTTGTTTATCAACAAGCACAAAAACATATGCAAGGCTCCACACAAAATTTTCTAAAAAACTCTCTCGAGAGAGAGAGAAATAGATTGAAATAATCAGTACATCAATACTAGACGAGCTCAAACTAGTTGTAGAGCCATAGATTTCTATACAAGGGAAAGAATTATCCAGGAAACATTGAAGAGAAACCGCATAGATCTTAGCCAGCTATATTGAATTCAGTGAAAACGAGAGAGACAAGAACAAAGGAATCACATAGATAGAACCAAGGAAATAATCAGAGACAGAGAAACACCCAGAGGAGCCAATAAACACAGAGACGAAGCGGCGCTCCAAAATAGAGCTGAGAACCACATAGACAGAGCCGTAACAATAGATCACGAAACTAAAGAAAGAGAGAGAAGACGTACAAAATGTTACAGAGATTAAGAGATCTGTGAAAGTTTCGCCGTCGCCGGTGGAAAGAATCGCCAACGAAGAGCTGCCGTCTCCCTCTCCGATTGATGATCTAGGGTTTGCTTTGTTCGCGAGTTGGGGGAAGAGAGAGAGAGAGAGAAAGAGAGAGAGCAGGATCTCCTGATATGAGGATTTATATTTAATTGAATAAAAATAAATAAATGGAAACTTGAACCCGGTTATTGACCGGTTTACACGATCGGTATAACTCCTCCACCCAGATTAATTAATCACTGATCTATACATAACTTGGGTTCTTTCTTCCATCACTAATGTTCAGTATCTGCTATAATGTTCTAATATGTATCCTCTTCATTCAATCCGAGACTATCCTACATTACAACAGGGGCAGGGCTCTTGTGTTGTTCATGTCTTTGTCTTCTCAGTGGTATCTATCATTTGAACATGTTAACAGAAGACGACGTTGTTTCTTCTTCCTTTTTGGCATCAGAATCCGCCACCATCTATTCCACTGATAGAGGCAAGAGACTATACTCAGTCGAAACAAGCAAACGAGATTTTTTCCATACGACTCAATCGTCTGGATTATAACTTGAAATATTTGGGTTGAAAACGGGATTGTGGTTCGTCTCAACATAACACAGACCTAGTAGCACCTCATCAAAACCAAATTACTTAACATTTGAGAGAAGAAGTCAAAAACAATTTTGAACTTTTGAACGAAACCCAAAACATAGATTCGAGATATACAACGGTATGAAGTCTTCTAGTATTATAACATGTGAATGGACACTTCTATACATAATCTCTCTGTACGAGAACAAAGATGATTAATCTTGAGAGAATTCACTTTGGTCATACCTGAGAGGCTTAACTTAGACAAAAGCACCTCACTCTGATCGCTATATAATGCTACACTGCCTCTCTCTCATGAGTCTTCTTTTGTCAATCCAACTCAACTCCAAGGGAGATTACATCTTCATGCTGTTCAACAATGGCTCACCAGATGCCAGCCTGTCTATAGGACTGCAAAGGGTAGCTGTGAAATGGATAAGCTCTAGCCATATGGACTGGCTTTATTGGTGCAGGTATTGCCCAAGTTAACTCTCTTCTTGGAGGTGGAGGTGGAGGTGGCATAGTCCTCCTTCTGTCCACTTCCATCAGTATGCACATCTCCTGGATCACCTCTGTCACCATTGATGAAAATATCCGGTTATTTTTATCAATCACTAAACTCAGTAGCGGTACATCTTTTCGTTCAGACCACTACCTAATGTCAAACTCGATATGTGCACATGGTAAGAACCTAACATGCCACTTAAATTGGAGCCATCTTATTGCCTATTATCAGAGCTAACTTTATAGAAACATTACATCTCACTTGATCAAAAATGACTGACAATAATAACAGAGCAATTTAGTGTTATAAGAACAAACCTTTTAATAGCTTAGTTGTAACTCCAAACTCCAACCACCAATCTCTCCTACTGCCTACTTTCGCGTTCTGGAATGTGGCAGCTAGGTGCACAGTGGCAGTTGCAATAACATGGGGTCGGTACTGCAAGCATAGGGTGGTTCGAAGCCTACACGCAATGCATTATAAAAGATTATTCAAACACAATGTGGGGAGAAAAACTCACACATGTACTAATAGTAGCAACTAGCAAGGGTCCTTACCAGTCATGCACAAAATTCCATGCTGCTGTTGCAAGGTCAGGCCAAGCGTTCAGCCTATTCAAAGCAGCAGCCAGAGGTTTGTAGGGAAGTTCAATGTCTAGATGGAAAGCACTTGTGTCCAGCACAAGCCTCTCCCCCGCCAAAACAATTTCTTTAAATTCATGGTAACATTCCTACAGGCAAAGTAACAAGTAATATATTAGCAAACTGCACAATGCGCAATGCAAACTTACCAATATAGATTTAGAGATACTTACAGTTTGATGGATTCTAATTGAGGCAGAGGGATCCCACTCATAAATGATTTCATAAGATGCAACAACAACGCTGGACAGTTGACATGGCTCATCTTCAGCTTTGCAAGCGAGGAACAGACTGGCAGTTGCTATCGTCTGCAAATCACCAAGTGAATATCATTACTCAAAATCTTGTTCGAAGCATAAATTTCTCCATTACAGACTATATTCAAGCATCCAAACTTTCCTGACAGCTTCAATGAGTGCAATTGATGAACATACGTATACAGAATATTCTTACCTGCCAGTCATTTTTTGCATGAGATTGGCGCATGTAAAATCGGTGGCACATCATCATTGCACAAGCTATTGTAACCTGGGACCTGAAGCAATGAGATTGTCAAAAACCTTCAACAAGAACAAGTTCAATGTTATAATATCTTGGGCAGCAACTAAATGCAAGACATCACTTTCAACAAAACCGGCATTTATAACACGAAACTGTTCCGACACACGTGATTAGTGCAAAGAACGAAAAACACCAGTACCTATGATAGAAGATTCAAAAATAGTGGGCCGGAGGAAGTGCACTTGCTCAGAAAACTAAGAACATCAGATGGGATAATGGTAGGAACAGCTGATGGTTTTGATAACCAAGCAGAGAATTACAAATACAGAGACATATATCACAAGGGCATGTCTAAACAGGTGAACAGCTCCCAAGCAAATTCACTACAGATGCAAAGCCTCCCATTGCCGATGAGAAGTGTGCCAATATATGATGCATGAACACCAAATTTTGACTATAAATTACATAATTCTCCATTCACAAGATATAAAGGTAGACAAAATGGAGAATTTTTATAGTTCGAGAACCTCCAGACCACCTTCCACAGTGGCCCTACGACAAAATTCAACAGTTAAGCTTAGCCATTGTCATGCACTAGGCACCCTCTTTAGCTAAAACAAGTTCCAAGAAATATCAGAAGACAAGAAGAAGCATTAAGTATACTCCATGAAGCAAGCAACCAAAGAACAAAACACTAGTTCCTAGCAAATGAAGCAACAAAAGAAATAATACTGTGAGCTTACACATGAAGCTTCATGCCAAGCCTTTGCAGGAAGGTGCAATACGAAGACCGTAAAAAAGACTCCTTGGCCAGGTCAATCCCATCTTTTCTTGATGGAGAGAAACGCTCAATCTCTTCCCTGCTGATATACAACTTTGACGTTTCACATTGAGGAGATTCCAACAAAGATACGTGTCTTGCCTCCGCTTCGAAATGTTGTCGAGACCGCTTTCTAGGATGCTCTTCTCCCATAGTAATCTTCTTCCGCCAAACAGCACAAACTGACCAAAAAGTTTCGATCTTTTAATTAATCGATTTAGCTGACGAAATATCTGCAAATAGCGAGCACCATCGTCAACGAGGATTCACAGAGTAATGTGGAACTTTTTTTGGTCAAACAAAACAGAATTAATTATTTTTCACATAACAGAATAAATGCTACAACAAAACAAGACACAGATCTACAGAAACTGCTTTTGGTCTGATCTATCTCAGCTTCACATATTGTTTTGACTCATGTGGCCGCATCAACCAAAGATGTTTAAAAACATATTCCAACGGATTCGATTAAATCACCCAAAAAAAAAAAAAAACTGAATCATAGAAGGCGATTACTAAAAAAATTCACGAACGAAGAACATAAAAGCAAAATCTGCAGAAGAGATCGATAAATTACGAAACGTGAAGGACTTAAAGATGAGAAGGGCCAATTGATTCAAAAGATGAAATCAATTTTAAAACAAAGGGACAGTAAACGAAATTGGAGGATAGCTAAGATTTGAGATTTCACTAACCCAAGTTTGCTTGATGAAGGAAAAAAAAAAATTCTTTGAAACTTGAATATTTTTGGGACTCTGCCTTTTTCTTCTTTTTCTTTTCTTGTGTTGTTTGTTGTCTGAAATTCAGGAAAAGATCTTGCGGTGTTGAGATTTTAATACCTAAAGATAAATATCGTACTCAACTAAATGGGCCGGATTATTTCAATGAAAAGTACATCTGATCATGGATATGGGCTTCGACATGCAATAATAATAATCTTTCTTCTTTTTAATTGATTTTTTAATATAAAAACAAAAATAATACAATTATCTAGTATGACACTTTTCTCAACTTTCAAAAATTACAAGTTTTTTTTTTTTTCCCCAACTCCAAATTATGTTAGAAAACACACAACTGCTTACTGAAGGGTTGGTTGACATGTAGAAAACAAAGAACAGAACATGGAGTTCCGTATCGATTCCAAAGTTTACATATTTTGTAATATGATGCATATGCACATTAATAATTGAGTATGGTGCCATATAGTTTTCGTTGGAAATATATTAGTTAAAGATTCATTTATCATAAGAAAGAGATAGCGTTTTAGTTTAATTAGCGTTTAAGATTCCAACATACGTATATACAATTTGTTTAATTATCATACCAAACAGAAAGTTGTCACCACAATTTGATACACTGAAATGTTAATTTGATTTCGGGTTTTTATATAAGAACCATTGAGTAAAAACGATGAACAAAATTAGGTAGAGAACATGTCTTCCGCTGAATTCATGGATCAGTTAATGTACATTATCATATTAATATTAGGATCGACAAAAAGACTAGTTATTAAAACTCATATTTTTGCATTTACCTTGTTCGTTTTGTTTTTAACAAAACTGATTAAAAAAAACCCCCGACAAGTGTGCTACTCTTTTATCGGGCGTACGTTCAGATGTCCATTTTATGTGTTTCAAACTATATAGTATATATAAGGAACTGTAAAGAAAAAATAAAAGCGAAACCAATAGAAAGTCGACAAAGTGAGCTACTCTTTTATTATAGACCATTGATGGAATCCATAAAAATAAAACTTTATCATGCATAAGAATTCTCATCTTTGTTATCTTGACCGTCTAAAAACTTAACCATGTAATACTCTAGTCTCTTCACAGCATCCTCCGGTAGGGACATCTGAACCCTAATGGCATCATTGTTTCCGGCGACCGGTAAAAGCAAACAATAAATATCACTCGTCAAAGGACCCATATACATTGGCTTTCCTCCTCCCAAGTCCAGCTCCTCTAGTCCCAATTTTGCCCATTGTGAAATGACCAAACTGCATGAGACGTTTGTTTTCACTGTTTTATCCTCCAGTAAATCTATCGTTGATTTAACATATTCGTCGGTGATTCTCGCTTTTGCCTCTTGTATCAATTTCACCGCTTGGTAAATATTACCATCGACTAGGTCTTGTACCTTGCTCTCGGCGCATGCTAGTACAAATCCGTTACCATAATATCCTTGAGGAAGTTCTGGATTCAGCTTTTTCCTCATATTGACGGAGAATAAAAGCTTGAGCAACATGGTCATTGGTAACTCAAGAGATCGAGCCCACGATCGCCACGTGTGAGCCGCTAGTACCTCAAACGCAGTGCATTTTAGCGAGGGAGAGCAGGTTTTCTTTAAGCGTAGGAGATGAGATGTCGTGAAGGTTAAGGTGGCGGGAGACAGTGGTTGGGACTGCAAAGACTTGCATATGTCGAAGGTGGAGTTCTTGTCTACGGTGGTGGTTCCGGTGAAACCAGGATGTGAGTGTGTGATACGTGGAGGGTTTCGTGGATCTAACACGTGACGAGAGTGAAATGGTTTGGTCGGCAGATGAACTTTACTAGTGGTGGCATGGGCCCATGCATGTAGGAACTGCGATGTGCCGATGCCGTCACAGAGGCAATGATTGATCGCAGTGCAGAGGATCATACCCCCGCAACGGAGATACGTCACCTGATCCATTATTAATTAACAACTTTCGTAAGCCATTACCAAAAGCATACTTGTTACATGAAATTAAATAACCATTTATTATTACCTAAGGGTTAATTATATTCAAACTTGCCGATGCAAAAAACGTTATACGTTACAGTTAAAACCTCCCAAAGTATAATAAGACTTTATATATATGTAACTTCATAGATTGATACGCGGTTTTAATAAGATCATAGCATGCATATGAGTTAAGCAAAAAGACTTATAGAATACATAAGCTAACATCTACTCCAAGGCAAGATAAAGAGTTTTGTTAGATTTCTTGCAACCAATAGAAGAAAAAGGAGTAGTTGAACAGACAAGTTTATTCTCTATGTACCCTTCTTTTTCTCCTAATCTGATCTCTTTATTAAAGTTTCACGTATTTTAAGAAGAAATGTTGCAGAAAAAAACCTTTATGTTATTGATACATCGAATGCATTATATGCACGATCAGGAAAAGTATGCATTTCTTATTTGAAAATAATAAAAGTGGCCGAATCAATGTAAGAGTCAGGAATTGTTAGATTATTCCTATTAATAAATTCATAAATCTAAACAGAACAGTCGGTCCAACTAACTTTATGAAACCTAAAATATTCGAGCTACGTTTATCATCCCCCTCCAAAAATTTCGAATATAATTCTTTCACTAACTTATAAACAAATATGGAAACAATCTGACTCATGGTCTTGACTTTTGATATTAAAATCATAAGTGGCTCAGCAAGAATAAGAAAAACAAAAAAAAAAGATAACGAGATAACGAACCTGTATAACAAGAGGAGGAATATCCAAGAAACTCTGAGCTTGAACCCTGAACAAGAGCTTCCTCCAAGACTTGTTTGGTTTGGGAGAATGCTGATCAAGAAACTCTTGACAAGTTATATCCATGAACGCTTCTGCGAAAACCGCGCCTTCCCCATTGCAATCAACCTCGAGCTTGTTCCCCTCATTGGAGACTCTTATCCGACCCGCGAGAGGGTAGTAATCGACTAGAACCCTAGAGAGAGACTCTTTTAAGGTTAAAGAAGGGATAGATTTTTGGAAAAGGTAAAGGTACTTGATGGAGAATCTGAGAAAATGATGGTCGTCGAGGTTGGAAAGGTAGAGAGTCTGATTTGGTGTGGGAGATGAAGGAGTGATCAAGGATGGTTGCTCTCCCTCGTACAAGCAATTCGGAAGTTCTTGCATCTTGCACTTTCTTTTTGTTTTTTCTCTGTTCGTTTAGTGTCTATGAAAGAGAGAGTGAGAGAGAATGAATAGATAGAGATGGTAGAAAGGGAAAGTAAGGAAGGAAGACAAGTGTGAGTGTTGGGGAGAAGAACTCAAAGGTGGTGGTAAAAGTTAGGAATCCGCTTACGCAGGGTCACTCCTCAACTATCTCGGTCGGACCCATTCCAAATATTTAAGTATTCTAATAATTTAGAGTGTAATTTGTTTGTTATCCCTAATTATATATATACCCTTATTATTAGGCCTAATTAACCAATCTGTTACAAATCCATTGTTATAAACAACAATATGATACAAAATCATTACTAATTTTAACTAACCGTAGTTTATTTCTTAATTAGGATTCTTAGAGAGAAAAAACACTCCAATTAAGAGAAGGGAAAAAAAGGCGATTAGCAAATGATATATATATATATATATATGGATCCATCGATAATCACCATTCACCAATGTTCTGTTGGGGATTTTAACTAACGGCCATGATGACTTACCAAACAACAAGAAGTTCATTGGTATGCATACGAACGTCCGTAACTTGAATATTCTTTGTACTAATTATTTGTTTGGATATATCCATACTATAACATGATGGAATTTTTAGCTTTTATTATTATTTTATTTATTTTGGAATTTTTAGCTTTGACTACTACAAAAACTTAATAGAATTCTATTTTGAAACTAGGTATGTGCTTTTTATAACGCAAAACCAAGCTTGATAATGTATGAAATTTGGTATTAAAACAACACAAACTGTTGAAAATCGACTGTAAAGTGTACACATGTCTTGAGAATTTATCTAATAGTTTAAAATCCAAATTAAGTGTAATACCTTAATGTGTGTTTCTATCGAATTAAAAAAATGCATGTTAATCTTCTAATAAAGTAAATGACCACTGAAATATAAAATGTAATTAAGAACTTAATAGAAGTCATTCGAGATAGAGTGGATTAGTAGGTACGTAGCGACCATTATCCTTATTGACAAGATAAGGAAAACGTGATCCTTTGACAAGATGATAAACTTTTGAATTTACATATTAGATTATAAAATTTTGTAATCATAGATTCAATATCTTCTAAACTTATATGTCACCCTTTTAATTATTGTTTTTAACCAGTTTACTACAGAGTAGTACAGTACACACCACCATTTCCTCGAAGCTTGAACGTAATCATTCTTTATTTTGCCAGAGTGTTCGACCCTCTCCGAGCCATAATCTCGCCACGTGTCCCACGAACTCGCCTAGCTTTTCTTCTATTTTTTTTTTTTTTAGTTTTTTTAACAATAAGAAAAGAAACAACAGTGCTCTTTCCGCAACTTTCTCCTCCAGATCTCGGCGGCGACGGATCCATTCCAATTCGTGTTTCAGATCGGCGACTTGAAGTCGCAACCGAAGACCTTACTAGTTCCGACTTGGGATTGAAGTTGCTATATCTTTCTCCGCGGATTTGCTGTGGGATCTCTGCGGAATTGCTCCTTTTGAATGTTTGATTTTGGGCGGTTTGAAAATACGGCGGCGGGGTGAGATTCTCTGATGGCTTCTATCCGGCGAACTCTCTCGCCGATGTATCACGATCGCGCACACGAGAATGGAGGTGCGCACAAGGGTTTCACAATTGGGGGTAGCAGCAGTAAACACAATTCCTCCCAATTTCTTTCGTATCTCACCAAACTCATCGGAGTAACTTCTGATCCTAAAAGCTCCCGCAGAGGTCCCTGGAGGCGACCGTTTTACCAGTTTCTCGTCTTCTTTCTTCTTGGATTTGTATTAGGTTTGACACCTTTTGGTAAAATGGAAGATGTCAACGGTTCCGATCGGTTCTCCTTTGAGATCAAACAGCCCTACGTTGAAGAACGGTTGGATAACAACAAGAAACGGGAAGAGGTAGCTGTAGATGCGGTGAGTTTTGTGGCGGAGACTGAAACTGGGAAGAAGGAGATCAATTTTGTGCCGAAGAAGCTTATAATTGTGGTCACACCAACGTATAATCGAGCGATGCAAGCATATTACTTAAACAGGATTGCTCAAACTCTGAGACTAGTTGATTCGCCTGTTCTGTGGATAGTGGTGGAGGGGAACGCAGCGTCGTTTGAAACCTCTGAGATTCTGAGGAAGACTGGAGTGATGTACAGGCACTTGGTTTGCAAGAGGAACATGACGAGTATTAAGGATAGAGGAGTTCATCAGAGAAACACTGCATTGGAACATATTGAATTGCATAAGCTTGATGGAATTGTCTACTTTGCCGATGATGATAATATATACTCGCTTGAGCTCTTTCAAAGCTTAAGACAAATCAGGTGACTGGAAAAGGCTGCTCATTACTTTTGCTTGTTTTATTTGATGGTAATCTGTGAGGAACAGACTTATTAGAGAGACTGCGCTTCAATTTTGAGTTGTTAGTTGAGCAACTCTTATCGTCCTGACTTATCTTATTGGCATCTTTTTGGCCTTTTTTATTTTGCGTGCTGTCTCAGTGACTCTAGTGTTGTTGGAACCCCAATATAAACATCCCACAAGCATATGTCTGTATACTCTAATGATGTTGAAACTAATGACAATTGGAGTTTTCTGCACAGAATCTGAGATTTTTGTTGTCAGTCTCTATTCTTACTTATCTGCTATGCTGCTTGCTCTGGCATGTGCTAAGTCGTGTTTGTTAGTACTTATTTCTTGTTATTAGAAAGGATTTTGTTTAACTTTTTTTTTGTATCCTGCCTTGGTTTCCTGAGCACTCATTGAGTGTAAATGCTGGTGCCTCGATACACAAAGTTTATCTTCTTCTGAAGTATTTGTGCCTCATTTTGAGTTATTATACTTGTCTGGTTTATTTTTGTAGACGATTTGGAACTTGGCCTGTTGCAATGCTCGCACCAAGCAAAAACAAGGCCATCCTTGAGGGTCCAGTATGCAATGGAAGTCAAGTGATTGGATGGCATACCAATGAAAAGAGCAAAAGACTACGGAGGTTCCATGTTGATATGTCGGGATTTGCTTTTAACAGCACAATACTCTGGGACCCTAAAAGGTGGCGGCGCCCCTTTACTCATCCAACCCGCCAACTAGACACAGTGAAGGAGGGTTTCCAAGTATGAGTTTGAGTATTTTCGTATCTGTGGATATCTCTGGTGCACGACAAATCCTATTCTTATACATGACATCATGTGTTTCCAAGCAGGAGACAACATTTATAGAGCAGGTGGTGGCTGATGAAAGTGAGATGGAAGGTGTTCCACCAGCTTGCTCGAGAATATTGAACTGGCATCTTCACTTGGATGCTCGGGATGTCCCTTATCCACAAGGGTGGGCGATCCAGAAGAATCTCCAAGCTCTCATAACTATGAAATAGTTTGAACATAGTTTTGACTGGTAAGATTTAGGGTTCTGAACTTTTGAAGCAAAATGTGGACTCAAGACCGTGAAAATTCAGTGTTTGTTTGGATTTGGAAAGGGTGAAGCTAACTAAGAATCTGATGTCAGAATTCGAATCCTCTACATATTGATGGATGAAATGCAGTGCACTTCTTGTTTGTTTGCAAAAGAAGATTCTGACTTCACCCTCTGTCTTGCAGGTTTCTACTTAACCCATGTGCTGTGCTCATTGCTGAATATATATATCAAAGAAGCATATGAAGAATGGAAAAGAAAAGCGAGGAAAGTTTAGGATAATGAAGAGGCACACATTTTAGATAAATGTTGCTGGAATCGTGTGAGCCTCCCGTGAATCCAAGATTTGGTTGGAATTAAATTGAAGGCCTTGGTATTTTAGTATGAGATGGAATTATATTACCGACATTGATGATTCCACGGCATTGTATTCGCCCATGGCTAACCGAGTCATTTTGTCTCCTTTTTTTTCTTCTTTTTTTCTTTTTCTTTTCTTGTGATGAAAGAAAGAAATTCACCTGCTATATAATCATCAAGTTGATTGATACTAGAGTAGAGCTTTTTTTTTTTTTTTTTTCTCATAAGGAATTTTATTAATATCACATGTCATACAAGGCCAGAGCTACGGCCCACAACATTAAGATTTACAGGAAAAAGAAAGTTCCACTTGAGCCCAGCTAAGCACCATAAGAGAAGAAAACTAATCTTTATCATGCTAGACCACCAAACCACGTGTCAATAAACTGGATATAACCAAGACACATGTCGATCACTTATCACAAGCATTCTGATGACCAACCTCCGCCGTTCAAGCAAGGATTCCGGTGAAAGAATCTACTCCGACAAAGAAACGAGTATTGATTCTTGGGTTTTTTCACCGACAACTAGTGAATCGAACCTCCAAATGGAAAGAGAACAGCTTAAGGCACTGTTAATATGCTACCAGAAACATCTTCTTTTCTTCAACTTAATTCGCAATTTGTGGATTCATTCCTGCAATTCTCAAAAACTCAAATGAAACAAGTCGGAATCAAGTATTTTTAAGCGATAAATCGCTAAAACATCTATATCCAACTTATCCCTGTTGAAATTTATTGAAAGAGATAAAAAACAAACACCGGATAAACTGTGTAGAGAATCCGATTTACGGCTGTAACAACACGAGAGCTGGCTAACACCGCTTGAGAAAGCCGGACGCTACCAGACAAAAGTCGACCACCACCGCTGAGAAAGTAGAAGGTGTCGAACAAGAAACCCAACTAAATTGGGACAGTGAAAACCAGAAAAAAACTCTGGCCGGCGAAAACATGTCACAAAGCCATCTCCCTCTCTGAAAGGTTTTTAGAGAGAGAAGAGAGAGAGAGTCTTCTTTAAGGTTTGAGTAGAGCTTATATCATCACTTCCTAAGAAGAGAAGAAAAAGAACGAGGGAATTGTCTGATTTGCTCTGAAACATGAGATATTCCCAATATATATGTATACCTATGTAAAAACCAGTTAGAATCCACTTTTCACAATCACATAGAATACAGACGATTGGTGATGCTAGTTCAAAATAAAAAAAAGATACACGTTGTAAACAGTGAGTAAACGAAAGATTTTGAATTTTCCAGGAAAATAGGTATCGTTGAATATAATATGTTAAAG